CATGTCCCTTCCGGGTTACCGTGAGAATGTGGCTCTCTGAACATGTCCCTTCCGGGTTACCGTGAGAATGTGGCTCTCTGAACATGTCCGTTCCGGGTTACCGTGAGAATGTGGCTCTCTTAACATGTCCGTTCCGGGTTACCGTGAGAATGTGGCTCTCTGAACATGTCCGTTCCGGGTTACCGTGAGAATGTGGCTCTCTTAACATGTCCGTTCCGGGTTACCGTGTCCGGGGGAATGGGGACTGGGTGTCCAGGACCGTTCAGGTCTGTGAAGCTCACTCTTTATATGTACTTTGCAAAACCTCAGCAATTATCAGTCAGCAACATGGCCAAAAATGTGCTTCTCATTCCTTTAATTTAACATTAGTCCAGTGGTTCTCAATCCTGTTCCTGGCACCCCCCCACCCCCATCTCCCCTGCCAAAATGTTTTCATTCCAACCCTACCTTGATCAGGCTTATATGATCTTTAAAAGGCTAATAATGAGTATGGCAGGTTGAAAGCACTGTGGTCTGGAATGAAAACATTCTGGCAGGGGGCAGGACACCAGGAACAGGATTGGGAACCACTGCATTAGTCCAGTGTCAGTTTTGGGATTGTGTATAAACAATGGCAGCTTTTAACATGCAGTTCAATTTAAAGGGCATAGCTGAGCCTCACATTAAGTCTGCAGACACAGAGTGCTGTTCATGGGCCTTTTATTTTGCATCTCATAACATCAGATGGGTATCATGTTCCTTGCTGCCCTAGTCTGTCTCTGTGTGTATTTCCCTGCGGTAATGTGGGTGCTACTTGCCGAATTCCTACATCGACTTGCCTGCTTGGGCTACAGTGACCTACTACCGACTGAACTTGTGCTTGTGCGACTTTAGATAGTCTAAAGGTACAAAATCCCAACGGAAACTATGAGAGTTTACAGCTCTGAGCTTTTTGCTTGTTTTCATTACCAGGTATCTGGTAGGTAGCAAGAATACAGGCTGTGAAGTGAGTGGTGTCCTAATAGTTAAGGATGTACAAGGGTTGTATGTTCAAGCCCCGAGATCGAGCTGTAGTTTGGAACCTGCGAAAGGGAATTAGGCTAATTCCATTCAGCAAGCAGCCTAAGTCCTATTGGATAGAAGTGTCCATTATGTGACTGAATGGGGTAACTGGTCTTTAATTGGGTACCCTTCAGTGGCCACACTATTTCTTGTTAGCCCTCTTCTTGTATCGCTCCACATGTCTGGTTAAATCTTCGATGCGCAGATCCTTCAGCTGCAGGAGGTGTTCCAGTCGGCTCACCTTTACCTGCAAGATCTGCAGACAGGCAGGATGCACAGTAGCTCAGCAGACAGATGCCACACAAATGCAGGTCTGCCACTCACTAAACCACAAACCGCTATCTGTATGGCTGTCTGTCTGTCTGTCAATTTCTGAAACCCTAACCCCTATTCAACATTATGGGGGGGCTGGAGCCTAACCTGGAGGGAATGGGCGCAAGGCAAAGAACAACCCAGGATGGGGCGCCAACCCATTGCAGGGCACACTCACCCACTGCACTACCATGCCACCCCCATCTGTATCTCTTGCAATATTTTAGTTCTACCAACAAAATGATTCATTGACCAATGCTTACACGTGCCACATTTTCCGACAGATATCTGCTTATTGTGCAACCCACTTCACTTCTATAAACACCAGTGGTCTGCGTGCTCTTGTTTCCTGGTTATCTGGCGGAAAGGGAAGTACTGTTTCCTTCTGTCATTTTCAAAAAGTCAAGTCAGCAAGCCACCTACAGCTGGTCACTGTGAGGGAAGCTTGGAGCTCTGCTCTTACAGCTGAGGCTGCATTTGAAAGCCCAACATTTCCTCCAGAATAATAAAAAAAATCTAATTCGGATTCCATTCAAATGTTCTGGGTTCCGATTCTGCCCTTGAAAGCACTTTGTAGTGTCATTGTCTGGTTTCCTCTCTGAGGCCAAGCTCAGCTCATAGCTGAGAGTGCAGGATGCTGAGGAACAGAAATGGTGTGGATCTTGTGACTGACCTCCACTGTCTCCTGCAGGGCTAGCAGATCTCTGTCCTTCTCCTCCACCAGCCAGTGCAGTGTCTGGTCCATCTGTGAGTTCTGCGCTGTGATAGGCCCAGAGCTGCAACATAGGTTTAAATGACCACAGACAATCACAAATGGCACTTAGCCCTGTAGAATGTAGAATGATTTTTATGGATTGATTTTTGAATTGAGCACATGACTTTATGCGTGATTCACCTCATTTTCTGCTTCTCCTCCTGTCTCCCTGGGCTTGGTTTCACATAAAGAGGCGTTGCTGGCATGTGGATCAACTCTGTACAGTCAACGATAAGTCTGTACTGGTAAGGGACCATGATAATTGCATGAAAAACATCCAACAGTCCGGCAGACAAAAACACTGAGGGTGAAGATTTCATTCAAGATAGGTAGGATGGGAAACCCTTTAGGTGAGGTAGAGGAGTATTAATTTAGTGTTTTCTTACAGCTCAAAGCATTACATCTTAACAGGACTGGTGTCAGCTTTCAGTCAAGGTTAGAGCTCTGTAATTTGGGGCAACTGCATAGTCCTAGGAGGCTAAAACGGTGAAATCTGGGTGGTGGCGGGGGGGTTGGTCATTGCCTAGGTGATTCAGTCAAGGTTGGACTCCATAAGCTGACAACGTCTAGAGAGTATAGATCGGCTCCGGGTTGACCATTGATAGACAAATGGCTAATGATAAGAACAAAGCATGCATGGATAAGGGCCTTGTCTGCAGGGCACAGCACTGTGGGAGGGCAGGAACAGGAAGTGGAATGGCCTTCGTCTCACTCCACACTTATGGAGAGAGCATCTGCAACTATACTGTTCCCACTGCTGATTCATCAGACTGAATATTTTAAACACTGGTGAAGAAGGCAGATCAACACACCCAGCAGATATATGATGAGCATGTTCCCCATGGAACATTCAGGCCTTCAAACCTGCAGTATTTCAGTCATTACGTTTCAGCCCCTATTCTATTTCACTTTAATAAGGACAATACAGTGAATAGGTGATGCATCCATGTGGCCTGGGCACACCCCAGCATACAATATCACTGACCAGACAGAGCTTCCAGACATTCTGCAACAGGATGGTGGGATACAGGTCATGACCTCACCGTTGAACAGGAGATGAGCAAAAAAAAAAGAAAAACAAAACCTTGATCTGGATTTGCACATTCTGGACCTGAACTGTCCACCTCTGTCTGTAATGGATTACTTTTGTGCGTAACTTCCCCAACACTGGAAATAAGGTCAGTAAAATACAGAAATTTCTAAACAGGACACCAGTCTGGAATTGCTCTTCGACATCAGTTGTTCCACAGCAAAGATTCTGCTGTAGTACAGAGAACAAAAAGTGTGTTTGTACTGTCCATTATACAACAAAATCCAGACACAGTAGTCAAACAGCTGCCATATGGCCTAAATAAAAAAAAAGAAAAAAAAGTGATTTCTGTGGACAAGGTTTCCAGGGTCTGTCTCTCTGTTTCATTTTATCTGTCTGGCAGGCTGGTAGTGTCAGTCCGTCAGGCCCCTTTGCCGGAGACGGACTCTGCCACTCGTCAGCATGCTTTTTCGGCATGCCCACCCAGAGGGATGGTAGAGGCTTCAAGAGGAATTGCGATTACTGCATGTCAACATGGATGCAAAGCAAAATACATATTAAAACTATTTGGACCACTTTTTGGGAATTTACTCTTGCAACATGAGGGTCTCACTACATTTTCTGTAAACAGTATAACCCCGACAAATCGTGCCGGTGAGTCAGCTACAGTGCACGCTAAGCATTCTGGGATTGTCACACATTTGTTTTTGAGTTCCTCTTCACCGCAAAATGACCTTGTAACTATTCTCTTAGGCAAAAGGATTGCCAACAATAACTTTGTGTTTGAAAGGACATAACATAAAAAGGGTATTTTTCCTGTGTGTAAATTTTTGTTTACTTGGATATTGCTACCAGAAGTACATTAGCCACGCTTCTGGGGCTTCTAAGACAGTGACACATACATATTTAACTGACTGCTTTACTCTATTATGCACTGGTTAATTACCACCTATCTTGGATGAAATCAGAGAACATACCTGCATGCTGTTTCTCGTTAGAGATCTGGTAGTATTCCAAATTCTGTGTGGAAAAACACAAACATTGGCTCTCAGGAAGAACTCTGCAGTGTTAGCAACCAAAATGTTTCATGTTCTGCTTCCATTGCTACACAGTGCTTTCCTAGCATGTGCTGCTCCTATGCTGTGCCCGTCTGTCTTTTCACCTGTGCCTTCTCATGTGGACCTGCTCCCTTTCCATGAGCCCGTACCTGCCTCTCCTCCTGAGCTATCTCCTTCGGCCCAGCCTCCATCCTCTCTCTCAGTGTACAGAGAACCGGCTCGATGGACCCAGGGGTGCTGCACATGATCTTCCTCACACAGTCTTCGGGTATGTGGAAGTTAAACTTGGAGAACACCTTTCTGAGGTAAGGATGAAGAGAAATATTTTTTCTTAACAGAGCTCTTTGACAGCAGACTTGGAGCGGTAAATTTACTCTGGAAGAGTAAGCAACTATTTCAGTGCAACCCTGCAACCATGAAGCTGACACAAAGTGGCCAGGTATGAAGTTCCCTGTTATTTGACGATGGTACTAGGGCATTATAAGTGTCTATCTTTTTAAGAGTAGGGAGGTGTGACATGTAGATTCTGCCTGAAAGTTCTTTGCTGAGTGACGTGTTTCTGTTAGGGTCTAATTTAGGCAGAAAAGGCTTACCTGTTGAGGATAGTCCAGTTGGACAGTTTCTGTTGGGTAGAATTTGCTTGGGTGTAGTTATGGAGGTCCACCATTTTGGGGTAGAAGTGCTTCACAAGTTCAGCAGCCATCACTGAGGAGCAGGAGGAGATGGAGTCCAGCTTGAGAGTCAGGACATCAGCAAAACCCCTCCCCTTAAATCAAAATTAAGGAAACGATACCCAGTGTTTCAGTGCAGGGACAACATCTAGAGACTGTGGACTAGCTACCTCCATCACTGAAGTCCCTCGCTATGTTCCTCTTCGGTCTGGAAAGCGGTATTTTATCAATCCAGGCATAAAGATCTTGCAGTGTTTCTTCAGTTAATTCTGTAGCCATTGTTTAAATACTCTTTCACAGTGCTAGTGCTTAGCTTGCTAGTCTGATACCCACTTATCTTACCGCAGTGTTACAACTGTTGCTAGGTAACCAGTCACGAAGAGCCTTATGTATGGTGGCTTGCTGAGGACAAACTTCCACGACATTACTTTCCTTTCAGTTTCTATATCATGCCTTTTTTTGCTTTCTATTTTTATTTTGTAAGACTACAGTATATCCTTAATTCCTTAAGTTTCAGCCCTATACAGGAGAGGGTGTAGATTATGAATATGATTTTTACTTTTTCTAGTCTATGGGGAGATACAAACACAGGAAAGAACAGCCATTTCAGGTTCTTTTAAAATGTTTTATTCTGGAAAAAATAAATAAAATTACAATACAAAGTACAGAATGAATTTTTTTAAGTAAAATGGAAAAAAAATCAACCACACTAGTGTTTCTTAATTCAAACCTGCTGAATTAAGATCAGCACAATTAAAAGATTTTTCTTAGCATTTTTAAGTGGGAAAATACTCAAGTAGAAATCCAGTGTAAACTCCTTTAGTTTGCCATGTGCCCAATCGAGAGACATTGGAGGAGGTGCCCAGCTTCTGTGCCTCTGCCTGAAGGTGAGTCAGTGTCATCTGAAAGCTAAAGGTGAGCTGGGCTTGTGCTGGATGCATTGCATCTGGTTTGGGCAGTTCCTGAAGAAAAGTGATCCTGTGTAAAATCAAGCCTGGCCACAGCGAACACGTACCACAAGTTAAGTAGATTTACTCTTTGAAAAAATGTGCAGACCCTTCTCAGCCCCTGTTTACAGTCCAGTGCTCCGTAAAACACACATGACAGTCAGTAATAGCCAAGTCTTCATCGGCTTCAAAGTCAACCTTCCTGGCGAGCTTGAGTTCAGACCATCAGAGCTGATCTCTTCGTCTTCATCTGGGCTTAGGTGGAGGTTTTGGTCCTGCTGTCCTTCCTACTGCAACCTGCAGCACAGCACACATCAGTCCTGTCAGTATGGCGCCCACTGCAGTGGGAGGGGCACTGTCGTATGGGGTGCAACTTGGGGCCATACATAGGCGCTGATTATTTTATGCACTGGCATAGTTGCAAAATCATTTAAAGGGTCAGATTCACTAAATCCTCGGTGCTGAGCCACATGGAAGATAAAATAACTACTAGCTATAGGTCTGGTGGGATCGTACCTGCTTATGCTTCCATGGCGGCTGTGCTGATGTCGGCTTTGCGGGGGGCACTGGCGGAGAAGGGCCAGATGGGGGAGTCTGCTAAGAGGCCCAGACAGATGCGTCATAGCTATTTAGCAGCCTTGACAGTGACAACATATTACATCTCCCAGAAATGAGGAATGATTCTCATGACTTACCGGCCTCACATTCAAGGCTGGTAAAGGCTTTGTTGGAGGTGACGGTCTTGCCTGTAACACAAAATGAAAGCATGCTTGCATTTAAAATGAGGCAAATCCAAAATAGTGAAGCACAACATTATGTCTGTACTGTTTGCTTTGCTCCAAGTGGCCAAATGTGAAGCTTAATGGAGGAATTTAAAACTCACTTGTGGAACTGGTGGAGGTGGGGTGGTAGGTTTAACCACCTGTTAGATAGGAAATTCAAAACATTAAAGATGGAAACCACCCTAAAGGAGAAATTATGCAGTGAAGAGTGTAGTGGTGTCTTACCTGAGCTGAGCCTGAAGCAGGCTGCCCTGGGGACTGTCAAGGACACACAAAGGGACTAAAGTCAGCTTAGGCTTGTGTGGTTCTGAGGCCCAGCTGTGGTGCGGACCAGGGGCGCCTCACCTGTGGAGCTGGTCGGCTGGGAATGACCGTGATTCCCACCGGGAATGAGAGTGCTCGGGTGTCTGTGGACTCCATAAACATGGGCTGGCTGATCTGGGGCGGGCTGTCCCTAATGCCACCCTCCTGGAAGACCGGGTTAGACAAACCCGAGCCACCAGGGCATTTTCTGGGGAAAGATACACAATCTGGGTGTAAGAGGAAGGTAAACTGGAACTAGGCCAAGCCACAGCACCTTTGTGGATAGCAGGCAGTATGATTTGTACACTCGCACTCACGTTTTACAGAGGTATGGTCTCCTCGTCTTACGTCTGTGATACAGCGCCGCCCCGGTGGCCAGGACCAGAATCACCACAACAGTGACAGAAACGCCAACAACCAGAGGAAACCAATCTGCAAATAAAACCATACACTGCTTATGGGATGTTCCTGGAATATCACCAGTGAAACCAGCCTGGATTAATGCATTAATATATTCTGCAGGTTTTTTTTTGTCTGGAGTGTTCATGATGCCACAGCCAACCATGTGTGTACACATGTGTAAATGTGCTCCGAATGGGAAAGGGAGACCCACCTAAGGGGGCGTTGGCCAACCTTGTGCTGCAGTAGGGTGGGGCCCAACCAGGGTCACAGTGACACTGCCTCTCATGGTTGCAGACCTGACATAGACATGACATGGTTAAAGTCAAACACCACTGATACACATGAGGGAGAAGCATCCTGCGGGGGGGCGCCCAGTACTCACCCCACGGTTGTTGCATTTAGCAGAGCAGTCTCCTGAGCCATAGGCCGCAATATCCTGACAGGCATGGCCAAGGCAGACCTGTAAGCAAGTCAGGGGTATTAGCTGCAGCTCAGGACCCGGTGACGAGGCGTAGGTGCGGGACGCTAAACTCACTCACCTTCTTGTCACCGCATTTGGTTCCGGTGGGGACCATCCCCAGGTCTTCCCCGTCAGAGTTGTCCACGGCGATTTTGCACTGCACTCTGGGCCCCAAGGTGATGGTGGCCTTCTGGTGCGTGATGGGGAACTCGCTCCCTCCACTGCAGAAGATCTTCCCACACTTCATGTCCCTGGGGAAGACAAAGGAATCAGCACTGTGCCCCAGTGGCCCCCAGGAATTCCCCTGCATGTCAGAGAGAATGGCCCCGTACCTGGGTGCGCAGCCCTGGTTACCATAGCTACTCTTCCTACAGTAAGCATCCTTGGTACCTTGTATGTTCTGCTTGAAGCACACATCCAAGGCCACCTGTGTACCTAGATGAGAAGGGAACAGAAGATATGATTTCACAACATCACAGATGGTTCCATCTTTTTCTGGATCCATGGCGTCACCATAGGTATAGGTTGTCTATATTTTTTTCTCCAAGGGCCATATTCATGTTAATAATTCAATTGTGAGATCTGAATTTAATTGTTTTGTCCATCTATTGCAGGGATGGTGAACCTGATCCATGGAGAGCTGGAGTGTGGGCTTTTGGGATGACCCTTCAATCAACCAATAATAAAGCAGTGTTTGTCAACTGTAGTCCTGGGAACTCACTGGTATTTGCTGATAGAGAGGTCATCCCAAAAACCTGCACCCACACCGGCTCTCCGTGGATCAGGTTTGCCACCCCTGATCTTTTGCATATCCATACCCTAGGCAGTCAGGAATGTCTGGATTCATATTGGTTTTCGTAGGCTGCTCGGAAGACGTATGGTAAAGACAGTTTGAATTGGTAAATGGATCTAAGGTTGGCCATGTTCTTCAGTGATGTGCCCATTTAAACATGTGACAGTGCTGTGCTCTTGCAGCTAGCAGCTGTGTCAGCAAGGCTACCTTTCCCCCAGAGGTGTGTGCAGTGACTCTGCAGGGTGGGGCATCGCCCATTGTAGCAGTAGCCTCTCTCAGAGTAGCAGGGCACCCCGTTCATCTTGAAGGTGTCCTTGGGGCAGTGCGGGCTCTGACCCGTACAGTACTCGGCAAGGTCGCAATCGGTGGCGCTGGCTCGGCAAAGAGACCCCGCAGGCTTTATCTGGACCAAACAAAAAAGACGACGAGATCAGGGCGGTGGCTGGCTGCTGTGAAATGCGACCCCCAATCAGGGGACCCGCAATCATTTTCAGCTCCCCATGGTTAAAAGTCTGCTGCTAGCTATGTGTCACTTATTGTGACACCTGTGCATGAAGCGGGCATCTTACCTGGCACTGCTGGCAGCACTCTCCCTGCGCACACTCAGCCCCTTCTGCCAGCTGGCATGTGCTGGCATTGCAGCAGGAGTCACTGCATTCCTGCAACGAGTAAACCATCAGGATGAGATGGGTCAGAACTGACAACATCAACACAGAAATGTTCACACGCTATTGTCCCAAATTCCTGACTATCCATGGGGTCTGACCTCCACCGTTCCGCAGTCACACTGCTCCCCTGGCTCTACAAAGGCATTGCCGCACACTGGACCCCCAAAAAGCCGGTCTGTGCCTGGGACATCCAGCAGGCAGGTGGGATTTTGGTTCTCCACAAATTCCCTCAGTTCGGTTAGACTGCAGCCGCTAAAGGCTTCTGGGTAAACCAGCCTGGGTATAAAAAGACAGATGATCTATGAGATGCCCGTCATCTTCACTGGGCCAGTTTCCTGAGAAGGTATGTATACCCATTGCGATCCTTATCGTCCATGATGTTAGTAACTGATTCTTAATGCCTTCATGGAATTCCTACTAAATAGGATACTCACCCAACAGTGTCTGACATGATGCAGTTGTGGGAGGGCGATCTCGTCCCGCAGGTACACTGAGAGGCATCGTGGGACATGCCCAGGTTGTGGCCCATTTCGTGAGCAATGGTAGAGGCCACACCGATGGGGTTAACGTTGTGGTCCTGAAAGAAACAGAAGTGTAAGGAAATATCTGAAAGTATGCATTATAATGATCTAAAACCACCACAGATGGTGATTGATGTGTTGTGTGCTGTAGAGGGTATTGCCCTACACTTGCTTCAAATAAGCAGATTAAAACAATAACATCTATGAGAAGCCTCGCCCCCCCCATTTCATTGAATGGAACGGCAGTGATGGCACAACCTTGGAGGTCAAATGGCAAAGCTGCACAACAGAGCTGAAGGCGCATACCTCGTTCACGGCGCCAGAGTCCAACGTGCACATTGTAGATTTTACTGCCAAGCCAACAGTGGGGCCGACGAACTCAACACCACTGATGAAAAATGAAACACGAGGAGAAACAACCATTATTGATTTGTAAACCAATGGCATACCAGGAATGATGCGCAATTCTGCCAG